TCGCCTGAGAAGACTGGGGGTTCAGGTGCAGGAAGTCTGGTGAGGACCATTGTGTCATGCAATGCTTGCATTAACAATGACTCATTGTTATTGTTTGGTTGTTCATTGTTATTATTCTTGTAGGTTTGCTCTGGTACGATTTCTTCAGGAGCTAACGGAGGACAACTGACTACCTCACTGTGTGCACTTTTGACTTCTCCACAGACTTCACTTGAATCTGCTTGAGAATAAGCTTTTAGCTTTGCAGTTATTACCTGAAGATCTCGCTGATTTTCTAGTCTTTTAAGCTCTTGCCTTTGTGTAGCAATAGCCTCCTCCATTTCTATCTCGGCCTGCTTCGCAGCAAGCTGTGCAGCACACTCTGCCTTTTTTACACTGATGCTTTGCTGCTCCGATAAACAGCTTGAGCGGTGGCTACGTACTGAAGGTCGGGAGATTGTAGTCCCAAATATTGACTGAGCATATTCTCTGTCTAGCACCATGTGAAGTCTTGCATTTTCTGCCTTAGCATCAAACTCTTCTATCCCCACTTCGCTCATACGTACTTTAAGTATTCTCATCAAGTCCGCTGTTACTGCTGTGCAGGAATCAATTTTTCTTCTAGTCTCAGTAGAAGGGGCTGCCTGCGATCTTATATCTTCATATGTATTTTTCACTTGTGACTCCAGCCCTTCGACAGTATCCATCATGTCAGCTAATTCCTGGTCAGAGCACTCTTCTTTAAGTTTGGAACGTGTAGCTTTAACTTGTTCTTTCCAGGTTTCATATAGTTTGATAAATTTACTCTCCTTCTGAGAAAACTCTTGTTGCTTAAGTTCTAACATTTTGGGTGTTAACTTTCGCTCCCTTGAGGATTTCCTGGGCTCTAGTCTTGAAGTATTAGTGGCAGGCTTCTGCTTTATTTCTATTTTAGCATGAATATCACCTATGAGTAACTCCAATTTCTCCCTTTCAACATCATCAGTCTGTAATTTCAATTGTTCATTCAATCTACTTAGCTCTTCCTTAAGGGAATCCATTTGTTCTCAGAATTCTTCAATATGTGATTTTTCTGTGTTTACTGACATTGCACATGTTTCAGCAAACCTGCTGCATAACAAGTCGTTGCTATATGTATATGCGATCCTGGCAAACATATAATTCTCAATACAATCTGATTCTTGCAACAATTTTTCTTAACAACACCCCTTGTTAGTCTTCCTTTAAGTTGAACTCTTAAACATCATTAGAACACTTTAAACAACACCACTTGTAAATTAAAGGGGAACAGTTTGGCTATGACAGGCTGGTTACCTTTAGCTCAGTACCTTTCTCATACAAAATAAATTATTATATTAATAGACCTCTCCAAACTTTACTAACAGCTGTGGATATATCACAGCCCAACCTGACGTTGACTGCAGAGCCGTTATCTTTTCCTTGAAGACGGAGGATTATACAGTTTTTGCTGTGTGCAACGGCAGAGTTGCAGACGGTTGCAGAGCTGTAGTTTATGATGGTCAATGTCGCCCTCTATTGGTGAAGTCGTGGTCGTTGCCGTCCAAAGCGCCAATAATGATGTTTCCTCTTTCCGAGTTTGCAAGCCTCCTTTCCGCTGTGTTCTCGAACCACACACACTGCGCTGTCACGAACCTTTCTTCTTTTCTTCTTCTGAAACATTCACTGCTTCTTACGTTGAACTTCCAGGCACGTTGGCGGTACGTTTTCACTGTAACTACAGGGGTCCAACAAAGGATGGCCACGCATCATACTGATGTCTTCGGATGTTTATTTGGCTCTCTCTCTCTCTCTCTTATTATCTTCAGACACCGTGAAAACTGAAGAAACACAAAGTTTACACAATAACGGTTTGAACTTATCAGTCTCTCATACCATTGTCCATAAACAGTCTCGTGCAAGCAGAACAGAAAGAAAATGCGCAATAATGAATCACAAAATGTCCTCTCATTAACAGTGTAGAACACATATGCAACATTATACAAACATTATACATGAAACCATACCGTGTGCGCCTCTTGGACCACATGCAGAATGACATTAACGTCGAGGCTGTAGACACATCTGTAGCTATGTATCCATGCTATGGTTGCTATGGTAGCGCTGTCAAACAAACTCTGATCATGTGACCATTACAAACTCTACCTCATACAAACTTTACAGCACGTTACATATTTAACAAACCCATATTTTTTAATCACATATTTTAGACATGTTTTTAAATCAATGTTACACTTTTATCATCTTATCTAGTAATTAAATGAACCAAATTAAGCATCTCTCTATCACAGAAACATTTGAAATAAACAACTTTATTTTAACTGTCTCAGGGACAGTTACAACGGCATAAAAGAAAAATGCTATAAAAATCTGTAAGACCTGCTAAAATAAGCTCCTGTTGAGTTAACCCTATGAAAAAAGATGAGATTTAAAGCTGGAGCATGAAGAAGCCACCCTCATCTGCAGTGGGAAGTTGAGAAAGCCCCCTCACCCTTGAGCTGAAGAGCATCAGTGAGACCAATCTTGTCTTAATTTCAGATCTTTTTCATCACAGAATAAGTTGTCAGGTTTCAATTCAGATTTTTCTCCATCAGAATCAATCAGCTTCTTCTTCTTTTGTTTAAATGGCGGGTGGCATCCAACTTAAAGAGCAAGTAACGTCTAAATTAACTTTTTTTTTGCTGATGAACTGTGTAAATGAGTGTCTAATAGTGTTTTAAATGTGTGTATTCATTATTTTAGCATTTTGGTGCATTTTCTTTAAAAATTAAAAATTCTGCCTAAATTCCACAGTATAGCGCCACCTTCAGCTGAAAACATATAATTTGAGTCATTTTGAATAAATTTTAGCCAATGGCTAAAGAGTAAGATACTACGTAAACCAGTAGAGTACTCCGTAGCAGCTCCGTGTCAAAGTTATAAAACCAACGAGAGTCTCGGCCACGCCTTGTGGCGAGTGGGAGTTGGACTTGCAAGCGAGTGTAGGAGGTTAGCCGTAGTTCAGCATTAGCATATAGCATTAGCATATCCTTGTCTTTAGCGTAGCTTTTAGTGTTATACATACTTATTTAGTGTTAGTTTGGCTGTTGGATAGTGTAGTTTAGTTAGTGTTTGGCTGTTAGTGTAATTAGGAAAGTAGTTCAGGTTTAGTGCTCCATATCGTGTTAGTATGGTGAAAAGGTGTAGTGTAGTGTGGTTGCGGTGGTTCTGTGGGGTTGCACTCCTTTCCGCTGTACTTAGAAATTAGGCGCCAGTGGTTGCGCGCAATCGGTGTCTGGAAAACATTCAGCTCCCGCCTGGTGCTGTAGTTTGTAACCAGCAATTTACCCGCAATTCTGCACGTCTCCGTTTGAAGAGGGAGGCTGTGCCCATCGTGGCTCTTCCGCGATTTAGATGCAGCCCACCGACTCTGCTCCCCCACCATGACGGGCTCCAGTCTGAGGTGAGTACGCTAAATAAAAGTTTTAACATCTTCTAAAGACAATTCCCTACCTAAATGCAAAGTTTGAGAGACGTGGTTCACTTCATTTAGCTAATAGTCTGCACTGCCTTCGGGCTGATTTGTCAAGTTCACAAAATGTGGAACGGGATGTAAGGTTAGAATCAGCGGCGAATCTGAACATATCTCGAAGCCCTGGCCGACAAAACGTTCCACATGACTGTCAGGCTCAGAGAAAATTCGGGTTGTTTTTGTGTCAGTCGGTAATTCTGCAACAATAGCCACGTTTACATGCGCATATTTAATCGGATTGAATGCCCATTCAGATTGAAAATTCTGCATGTAAACATGTCAATCGGAATATTCTGATCCGATTCGGCCTGATCGGATTGAAATTTCAATCCGATTGAGAGAGGTGGTTTATTCCGTTCTTCATTCCGATTGACGTGCATGTACACAGCCATTCGGATTGTTGGGGTAAAATAATGCCCACTGCGCATGTGTGCAACAGCCAGCGGGCCTCTCCGCTGTCATTTGGACTGCCTGACTTCAAAAATGACGGTGTAATTAACGAGCGGTGGCTTTTAAATCCGACGACAAGCCGTCCCCGTTTCAGTAATATTTAATTCAGAACTTGCATTTTGTGGAAGTAAAATAAAAATCTGATTATTGCACAAATCAGTCGACAAACATGTTCAAATCTGTACTGGAAATACGCAGGTTTATCGCGGGGGTTGCAGCGCACGGATCCCCGTTTCTGTCAGCTTTGAACGCAGCAGCTTCTGCAGCAGGTGATGGAGACGCGCTTGTAAAGAAGACAGGATAATCTGGGTTTTACAGACCTGATTGGAGTCTGATGTTGGGTAGGAAAACGTCCTCGGTTAAACACTCTGGACGACAGTAAAGTCCGTGTTAGAAGCACGTAAACGCAGATGACCTGAGATGCGGTTCGTTAATGATGAACACAGGCTTCTAAAACTTTCTGAACATCTTCTGTTATTTTGTTTGAACAAATTTTTCTCAACAGTTTCAGCTGATCGTCACATGTTATTAATAATAAGCCACAACAGAGCTCAGTAATAAAACATGAGGCCTACCCCCCCCCGACCCCCGCTCTGTGCCGCAGCGCAGCGCAACAGCTGTCAATTCAGACCCGCGGCTGATCAAGAGGCAGACATAACCCTCCCTTATTTTAATCAACAATAAAATGCAGCAAAGCATATATGTGCAGTTATTCACTGAAGAAAACGTCACTTCTATGAGCTAAATAAAAATATTAAATTGAATAAATAGATCAGGAAAGCAGGAAGAATAGTTATTTCTGTTTTTACATTTTTCTTTTCGTTTCATGGCGTTTGTTTACAATTTTTCTTTCGGCAAAGGCAACTCTGCGCATGCTCAACCTATTTAATCGGATTAAATGCTTGGTGCGTATGTACGCACGGGCACGGCATGATCGGATCATTTCAGTTCGTGTCCATGTGAACAGAGATTCGGAAATTCCGATCAACCAAGATTTCAATCGGATTGAGGAAATTTGCCACATGAAAACGCAGCTAGTGACTCACCCCGGCTTTCCACAGGAGCCGTCAGCAGCATGTTACTGCAGCAGCACTTCATAGCTGCTGATAGGAACCGCTGTGGTCAACAGAACCTTTTCCACTGGAGCCATCAGCAGCGCGAGTCGGCCGCGTCTCAGGAGCAGCATGTCGCGGCCTTTACGCGCCGGTTCTATTTTTTTCGCGCGACGCCTCTGAAACGGGTCAAGTTCGACATTTTTGGGGAAGGAAAGACAGGAAATCGGACGTGGAAATGGAGAGAAGCTCCCGAGATTTTCAGAATAAAGAACGTACTGCCTTCCGGTTGCTTTACTTTAAAAAAGGTTACTAACTGTGCAGCCCCGTGAGAAGTTGTCACATAGCTAGCGGTCTCCTTTGTTTTTCAGGTCCGTATTGGCGATTATCAAACGGACAGAACATAAAACACAAACCATGTTGTAATTTTCTCCTGCTTGTTGTTGTGTTTACTGACGAAGTCACTCGTGTGACTTCGTGCTCGGTCGGTGACAGCTGCTCCCCTGCTGCTTCGCGTCTCGTGGGAAGGGCCAAGCAGCAGCTTACGCGAGCAAGACGTGCTGCTGCAGTAACGTGCTGCTGACGGCTCCTGTGGAAACCCGGGGTAACTCAGCACTAGTTGACAGACAGCATTACAGCGTGAAATTCAGCTTGTGACCCGATTCCGTGAGGAATTCTGTTCAGGAGGTCTCATTTCAGGCTCTCCACATCATATGTGACTGACTTTTACGTTATAATAACGATCAAACACTAGGAATGTTATAAAGCGTTGTAATGTTATAAATTCTTTTGTATATTATCTGACTTTATAAACTCCAACAACAAAGTGCTTCTATTTTTTTTTCAGGTTAAATCTACCCAAGACACTGGCTGTCAGAATGCACTTGTCCAGGCTGACGTGAAGCCTTACCCGTAGCATTTTTTTTAATAATCTTCTATGTAAACATTTTATTATTACCTTCTAGTTTTAATTTGTTATACAGATTATTGTTACATGTGATTTTATGCTCTTTTAAACATTTATAAATGTGCTGCTTCTTTGTTTTTTACATAGTCAGCCAGAATAGAGCTCGCAGCCGCAGTGTGTCTTGTGACACAGGGACCATGACGGAAATTCATCTTCCAGAAAGTCCCAGAGCAGCGTCCACACCCCTGAAAAGACCAAGATGTGAGGTGTCTGCTGTTGATTCCAGCTTCCACCTCAGTGACAGTGCAAGCTCAGTGAACTGTTCAAGGTAAAAAAAATTAAAAAATTTCAGAATTTTTAAGATATTAACAGTTAAATAAGTATGTGATTACATCATGACATCATGAAGGAGGCTACTGATTCTGGCCCTGTGACACTTGGTGGTGACGTGTGAGCTGATTCACCTGGTAAATAACTTTTGCATTAAATATTTTGTTTTTGCTATCAAAAGTAAATTAACTAATAACGTGCATTATTGCAGGACACTCAGCAAAATATGGACTCTACACCATGAGGCAGGCACACGTTAATACTCTATAAGAGCACATAAGGTGAGCAACACCACATATTATTATTATTACTGTACACTGTCCCGGATTTGTTTTCTTTCTGCATCTCATCATTAGCCTGGCTGATCACCTGATAACTCCTGTCATCTGGTTGTGACAGCATGAGGATGTCCTCACACACCTGTAACCTATCAGCTCATCTGGCAGAATAGAGAGAGAAGAGACAACACCACATCTCCTGTTCCTGGAAAGCCTTCAGCCATCCTTCGATGACTGAGAACCTCCATCAGCTCTGTCTCCTGTCTGCCTACAATTATTATAATAAATATTGTGTTTGACAAGTTTTTTGTGCTGCCAAATATCTCATTTTGATTCCAGTTTTGATATTTTAATGGATATTTATAAATTACATTAATTGAATTATCACATTGTTGCATGTTTAACTAGCTCTGTTGTGATGAATTAAACTAGCACCTCACTGTTAAAAGCTCATTTTAATTTCAAGCATGTTTAAGTATTTATGGACATGAACATAGGTACATTTCAACTGTGAGAGACAGAATGTGAAGAAAAAAAATCCATGAATTCACATGGCAGGATTTTTAAAGAATTTATTTGTAAATCAGGGTGGAAAATAAGTATTTGGTCAATAACAAAAATTCAACTTAATACTTTGTAACATAACCTTTGTTGGCAATAACAGAGGTCAAACGATTACTATAGGTCTTTACCAGGTTTGCACACACAGTAGCTGGTCTTTTGGCCCATTTCTCCATGCAGATCTTCTCGAAAGCAGTGATGTTTTGGGGCTGTCGCCAAGCAACACGGACTTTCAACTCCCTCCACAGATTTTCTGTGGGGTTGAGGTCTGGAGATTGGCTAGGCCACTCCAGGACTTTCAGATGCGTCTTACGGAGCCACTCCTTTGTTGCCCGGACGGTGTGTTTGGGATCATTGTCGTGTTGTAAGACCCAGCCACGTTTCATCTTCAAAGCTCTCACTGATGGAAGGAGGTTTTGGCTCAGAATCTCACGATACATGGCCCCATTCATTCTGTCCTTAACACGGATCAGTCGTCCTGTCCCCTTAGCAGAAAAACAGCCCCAAAGCATGATGTTCCCACCCCCATGCTTCACAGTAGGTATGGTGTTCTTGGGATGCAACTCGGTATTCTTCTTCCTCCAAACACGACGAGTTGAGTTTATACCAAAAAGTTCTACTTTGGTTTCATCTGACCACATGACATTCTCCTAATCCTCTGCTGTATCATCCATGTGCTCTCTGGCAAACTTCAGACGGGCCTGGACACGCACTGGCTTCAGCAGCGGAACACGTCTGGCACTGCAGGATTTGATTTCTTGCCGTTGTAGTGTGTTACTGATGGTGACCTTTGTTACTGTGGTCCCAGCTCTCTGCAGGTCATTCACCAGGTCCCCCCATGTGGTTCTGGGATTCTTGTTCACCGTTCTCATGATCATTTTGACCCCACGGGATGAGATCTTGCATGGAGCCCCAGATCGATTGAGATTATCAGTGGTCTTGTATGTCTTCCATTTTCTGATAATTGCTCCCACAGTTGATTTTTTCCACACCAAGCTGCTTGCCTATTGTAGATTCACTCTTCCCAGTCTGGTGCAGGTCTACAATTCTTTTCCTGGTGTCCTTCAAAAGCTCTTTGGTCTTGGCCATAGTGGAGTTTGGAGTCTGACTGTTTGAGGCAGTGGACAGGTGTCTTTTGTACAGATAATGTGTTCAAACAGGTGCCATTAATACAGGTAACGAGTGGAGGACAGAAAAGCTTCTTAAAGAAGACTTTACAGGTCTGTGAGAGCCAGAGATTTTCCTTGTTTGAAGTGACCAAATACTTATTTTCCACCCTGATTTACAAATAAATTCTTTAAAAATCCTGCCATGTGAATTCATGGATTTTTTTTCACATTCTGTCTCTCACAGTTGAAGTGTACCTATGATGTAAATTACTGACCTCTGTCATCATTTTAAGTGGGAGAACTTGCACAATCGGTGGCTGACTAAATACTTTTTTGCCCCACTGTATTTAATTAATATAACAAATAAGGGGGAAAGAGTCATTGAAAGGCACATTCTTCTGGAAGCTCCTGATCCTGACGACACCAGCAGAGGAGACCAGCTGCAGACACCAGAGGACCTACAACCAAGAGAGCAGCTAGTATCAGTAAATAAATAATGAAATCAGGGCAGTTTTAGTGGGCTGAACACATTACAGAATAATTTTCTCATGGGGTATTTTCATAACATTCTATGCAGCAGACTGTGACTTGAGCCCAGGGCTCCTGGAGAGCTGCTATCCAGCACGTTTCAGTGGTTTTCCTGCTTTAACAGGTTAGATTAGCTGTTAAGCAGCTCAGCTATTTGTTGCTGATTAAAACCAGGTGTGTTGAAGCAGATAAACCTCTAAAACATGCGGAATACTAGCTCTCTAGGGCAGTGGAGCCAAACCCTGCAGCTAATCCAATGCTATGGCTAATGGCTACTTACCATTCAGAGCTGGTTCTGTTGGGTCGGTTCCGCTAGTTTCAGGCAAATCACAAGCTCAACACAATAAGGCTCAGGTCCTCTTATCTCCTCCAAATAGACTTGTTCCCTTTCTTCTCGAGTGTCTGGGTAAGGAGGGGGAGAAACGTCCTCCACTTCTAATAACTGCTCAGAGTGAAGGGAGCTAGCATCGTCTAGTTAGCCATCGTCTTCGTCACTGCTGCGCCTCCACCCTCTCGGCCCTCCAGGCAACCCCTACTAATGTTGCAGTTTTTAAAATTGATACGTGGGTGGAGTAAGACTGAGGGGGACATTACCACCTCTTTAAGGTGCATTTCCACCACCTACTGTGTAGGAGTGTGAGATTTTCTCAGTGTCATAATCTGTAAAGTTCAGCATCAGCTTGGCTGTAAAGAAGACATATTATGCTAAACTCACATTTTGCATCCTTTTGTGCTGTCATGTGGGTCTCTACTGCCTCTATAAACACCCCAAACATGGAAAAATCCATCCATTTGTTGTCTGTCAGGGTTTGGTTGTAGGAATTTTGTGCCTAAAACAAGTTGTTTAAAAAAAGTCCCTGATTGTGATGTCACAAACAGGAGCTCATGGGTCCCCGGATCATAGAAAAAGTGAACAGGGCTATAAAGGCTATTTTCTAACCTGCTCTGCATTATGCCCTGAATCACATACATGTACTTGAATTTAGATGAAAAGTAATTGTGTGAGTTTTAGCTATGTCTGTCATGTACTTTAAGTTTTATTCGCTTGTAAAAATTCTTTATTAAAAAGGACTACAACTCAGACGTTACATGTCTGACTTCATGGCAGATTGTCTTCTCTACCACATGGTCAGATGTGGTTTTCTCTGTTTAATTCTCCTCATTTTGTCCTGGAAGAAAGATTCAAAGCTCGCTAAACTAATCTTCTCTTCTCGTGTCTAGTTCGATGACATCAGTGTGGTGAGACGAACATTTGTAGTTCTCTACGTTTTTTTCCCACAAAACCTAAAATAACTAGGTAGGGCTTATAGAGAGCGATGTTTACTAAAGTTAATTGCTCTCCCTGCTGCTGTTCACCAATGTCAACAAGTTGGTGAATTTGCCAGAATTCACTTCCGCTGGATTTATAACATTATGTGATAAACAGTGTATCACTTTATACTGGAGCTAATTTAAAAACAAACAAACAAACAAGCAAAAGTCCAGATCCCTACCCGTTTTTGTTGTTGGCGGGTTCAGATGCTACTCTCACACCAGGTTGGGACAAGGTATCTCATAACGGCGACGCTCATCATACCAAATAAAAAACGTAATTTTCACACACATAGTCATACATTGGAACAATATAATTATAATAACTAATAATAAATATAACTCAGTATAATATAATAAATAAATATCACTACAGTGGATGGTAACACAAGTCCTCCATGGTGAAATATAGGATCGTCAATGCTAAGTAAGTAATATGAACGCATCATATTTATCACATCAGGTCCATCACAGTCAGTCTTCTTTCTCATGAAATATATGAACGTTAATGTTACCTAGTAAAACGTGTTTGCTGCAAATCCGATTATACTTTTAGGAGCGCTAGTTCGTTTGATCGATCGCTGCAGAGTTCCTCCTGATGTCTGTTTCCTAGGACTTGCAGTCTTAGTTGTTGTGTAACTGTGCACCTGCAGGCCAGTTATGATGCATCCATATGATGTCATATTTGTCCAGTTTGACCCATGTGTTTTTTTAATTTGGGACATTGAGTCTGGTAAGTGTAGAGACGGTTCGTAAATCCTTCTGTCCTTCCTTTCAGGTCTGTCATGTCCTGGGCGCTGTGGCCAAGGACAGCACTGCTTGGCAGCTGCGAGCACAGAGACTAATTGGGTCAAGAGCTCGATTTCCAGTAGGGCCCAGGGAGGACTTTGACTGGCCTACTGCTTGCCTAGAGATGGAGCAGCTGATACGCTGCTGGACTGAAGAACATGAAGCCAAGCAGAGCCGAGAAGATGAGGAACACAGGAATCTGGAACAGGGTAGGGGGGCAAATGTGGGAGGACAGGAAGATGCTGCAGAGGAAGTAGGAGTGGGTGCGGTGGCACAGGGAGTAGCTTATGGTGCTAATGTAGTAGTGGAATTTGTAATGAAGGATGAAGAAATGCAACCAGTTCTAGATGACCAGATGGCAAGGCTGAGAATAGAGTTAGAGGACCGGCTGAAGGATGGGGCTTTAATAGAAGATGGACGGGTGGCGGTGAATGCTGATGTGGGACAAGAGGCAGCTCTCCATGGCCACAATGTCTTCATGAACCAGGAAAATGGAGAACAGGCAGAAGGAATGGAACACCAAGCATCCACACATCCGAGTGCACCTCCAGCAGTGGAGTGCATCACCCTGCCTTCAAGCCACATTGCCCTGGTCAACTCAGTCCTCCTGCTGGGTGGGGAGGGGGCCATCTGTGCCACAGCCTCCAGGGACTGGAATGTGAAACTATGGGATCTGCAGGCAGGCACCAATGGGACGCTGCTGGACACACTGGTAAAGCGGGGGGAATTCAGCACCCACCGGGGCTGGGTGTGGTGTCTGGCATCTGAGGGGGCCCTGCTGGCCTCGGGGGGCTTTGATAGCACAGTGAGGCTCTGGGACCTTCAGGCTGGAGGTGCAGACAGGGGCCTGATCCAGACCGGAGCTGCCGTCCTCTGCTTGTCCTGTCAGACAGACGTGCTGCTGGCTGGTACTTTTGACAAGATGATCCGCATGTATGACACCAGAGGTGAGGCTGTTTTAATGAACCACCTCCTTAAAATGTAGCTTCTACAGAGGCCAGCAAATTAGGAGACTTTTTATGAATGAATGAAAGAGTCTTGTTCTGAGGTTCCTTTATAAAGGTCACATGACCTTCCACGCCAAGTTTGTGACCTATAAAGAAAAAGCACATAAAAATGTGTGCAACCTTAAAGGGCGAGTCACCTGATAAACTATAAATGATAACTAACCATGCTGTAGACACGTGTAGTCAACAGTTTGGCACTTTAGTGCGTCTTGGTTCAAATTTAAATATTTTGCCTAATAATAATAATAAAGATAATAATAGTAAATAATAAAAGTTATATCTGTAATTAAAATATATTGTTTTTATTACATTCATATTACCATAATTTCCGGACTATAGAGCGCACCTCAATATAAGCCGCACCAACAAAAAAAAAAAGGTTTTCTACACATACACATGCCGCACTCGAATACAAGCCGCGGCGCAGCAGCCACATGCGGGTCTCCGGCGCACGGCGCATGTATGGCCATAATATAAGATAATTAGACAGAAAGACGCTACACGGAGGTTTTTTGTTGTTGTTTTAATTCAACAAAAAGAATTTTAAACACGAGTGAGCGTGCCTGCAAGTTTAGAAAAGAAAACAGCACTGATAGCATTCATATTTCTGGATGGTTATAAAATAAAAACAGAACTGACACGTTATTACCGGTAATTTGCATGTTTAGAAGAAAAGAGCAGTGCTGACACAGCATTAATAAGCCCTGGATGATTAGAAAATAAAAACTGCACACAAAACATGTCTGGTTAGTAAATAAAACTCACTTGCCCACCAGAAAAAGTCATTTGCTCTCATCTTCCTCTTGCGCACTAAAGCCATTAAAGTCCTCTTCTTCAGTGTCGGAGTTGAACAGCCTCAGAAGAGCTTCGTCACAAACCTTTTCTGTGGCGATGTCAGTGTCGCTGTCCATGTTGCTGTCATCATCCCCGGGTGAAGCTGGCCTGAATGAGTTCTTCCCGCTGCCGTCTCCAGCACCGAACCATGGATTCATTCATGCCAAGCTTACGTGCGGCAGCACTGTTTCCCTCCTTAACTGCCAGATCGATGGCCTTCACCTTAAATACGGCATCATATGAACTCATATGTGTAGTTACCATGATGAGGGGGTATGGAATTGAAACAAATTCTTCGTCGTGCCAGCTGCTTGCATGTGCTAAATTAAAATGAGCACTTCCTTCGATTTCCACTTTTGACTTCCACCCGTTTCACTTTCTGCTAAAGCGCCCCCTGGCAGGTGAAGGAAAATCTTCAGTAAAGCCGCACCTCATTATAAGCCGCGTGGTTCAAAGCGTGGGAAAAAAGTAGCGGCTTATAGTCCGGAAAATACGGTACTTACTGGCGCATTAATCATGTGACCTAAAACATCTATGATCTGTGAATCAATTAAAACCCTGCACCGTAGTGAACCGAGGATGCCATGCAGTCATTGGGGTTTACATAAATCGGCTCGTTCCTGCGGTAATTAGTCATATTAGCTGATATTTGTTTTATATAATCAATATTTCCTGCTTAAAGTCCTTTTAGGTTGATTTAAATGTTTTCATTAATTGTTGTCATTAGATCCCTGAGCACAATGCAGCTGGTTCGGATGGTGCACCAATAATCTTTCCATCCATCTGTGCATTTTCATTCATTCATTCATTTATTTATTTATGTATTTATTTATTTATGTATTTATGTATTTATTTATGTATGTATGTTTGTGTGTGTGTGTGTGTGTGTGTGTGTGTGTGTGTGTGTGTGTGTGTGTGTGTGTATGTACGTATGTACGTATGTACATATGTATGTATGTACATACATATCTTCTGTGATCATTCTGTGGCTCAGCAGCCCACCGCTGCAAACACACGATTTCCATCTTGGTTGCCATGGTTACCTGTGCATGCCACCTATCACAGGGCCTGTTTATATGCAGAATATTCTTATTGTAGTTTGCATTGTCCATCTATGGCAGAAAGTGGGTGATCCACAAACGCCTGAGCGTGTTTCTAGGTCTGGTGCGATTTATAAAGCAGAAACTGTGAAAAAGCAGCGTGGTATAGGTCAGGAAATGAGTTTGCATAAGCAGTTTGTTTTTGCTGAGCTTAAATAGGGTTTTATTAAGGAGTCTAAGCAACGTTTTATAAATGCTGCCTCTGGTCTGAAGTTCAAAGAATGCATTAGAAAGTCTGGTTCCTTGGAAGTTGAATATAAAACGGTAAAGCTCAAAATGTTTAAGTATAAGTTGTTGAAGCTAATGAGCTTTGTGTCTTTCTAGCTGCTGAACCATTGGTTAGAAGCCTTAATTGCCATGTCAGCGCCGTGATGTGCCTCACTGCAGATGACAAATACATCATCTCTGGGAGCAAAGACCGCACTGTGGCTGTCTACGACCGCAGGGCGGGCAAATACCTGCAGAAAATTCATGTAGATTCAAACTTCTACACGCACGCACGCACACACACACACACACACACACACACACACACACACACACACACACACACACACACACACACCTTGTTGCTTGTAAAGATCGTTGTCGTCTCACAGCCCTGCTCTTTGTCTGCAGCTGAACTCGTACCTGCTGTCCATGAGCCACAGCGGTAATGAAGTCTGGATGGGAGACGGCCGAGGCATGTTACAGTGCTTCTCCATGCAGGCGGGGACATTAAAACACCTGTTCCAGTTTGATGTGGGACACAGTGCTGTGGTCACGGGCGTCCACAGTTCTCAGGGAAGCCTCTACACCTGCTCCACGGATCGGACCGTCAAGGTAGATTGATCAGGATGTTTTAGTTTAAGCTAATTCTGCTCTTGAGCCATCTGGACTCGCAACTTCCTGTCTGTATACCAGGTTCACCTTCCTTCTGCACCTCCGAGGACTTTATGTACTCTGCATCATCAAAATAGCATCCACGGGGTTGGTGGCTTTTTTGAATGATGCTAATATAAAATGACTATATTTTTGGTCAGGAAAGGATCTCGTCCTCCTCTCATGCTGTTTTTCTCTCTCCTTCAGTTGAGCGCAAAGGCTGGAGTCCTGGCTGTGGCCTCTGGTGGAGTTGGTGTGGACATCTATCGACCCAGACAATGAAAACTGAAGAGCTGCAGGAATTTCTCAGCAGCGTTCTGACTCGAGCACAGAAATGTGGATCAAAAAAGATCATTCTGACTTCAGATCCAGCCGTGGTGTTTTACAGGCTGGTTTCCTCTAGTAATATCTGATAATCGTCTAAAAAAACAAATGTTAACAAGATGTATGTCACCCACAGATGTTCCACTAAGTCCCAGTCTCATTGTTTTCATTCCTTTTAAATGTACATCTAAAGATGTTTATTTCTCTTGTGTTTCTACAGTTTTTTCATGACTGATGTGATTTTAAGTTTTTTAGTGCAGATAAATGTTTTCTGGTGTTTCTGAAACAGTTCAAACTTTGTGTTTAATGCGCGTCAGACAGCATTAAAGTCAGACTTTAAGGTGTTTATAGATTTTATGAATTGTATTTCATTACAGAACACTTACAGGGAATGTTTTCTGCGGCACAATCATTACACCATTAAAAACATCCAGTGTGTGAGTTCTCGTTTTCTAGAGGAGCTGTGATGGTTAACCTCACAGATGCAGCTTTAACTCAACTTGTGATGTCAGAGCAGCACACATGTCTTCTTGTCTTTGAATGGGTTGGATGATGAAGAGATGCCGGTGATCAGAGGGTCGCTGCGTCTGTGCCCCTGACAGTACCGCACTAAATCTGCTGCTGTCAGGGAGATCTGCTCACATAAAGGGCAGGATCAGGCCTATAATATCTATTTTCACAAGTAAATAACATTTCTACATACCTTGAACCTCTCCATGCATGCTTCAATCTGAAGTTGATCCACCAGTTTCTGCGCCTGTAGGATGCTGCTGCTGCTGCACATTTTCCCTGACATGGCCTTTAACATGAAAACAGAACTAATAGATTTATGGACCAATAAGCAAAGAAGTGCACCTGGAATGGAACCAGAGCAGCGTTTTACCTGATCCAAAGCTCCAGGTTGAGAGGGAGTGTGCTCAGAAAGGCTCCTGGCTTCACATTTTGACCCACGTCACCTTTTTATTCACCAGTGGTGAGCCGTTCAAAGGCTCTCTGACACAAAAGGTCAGTGGTGGAAATGTCACTAACGTCGCACAACACTTCACAGCCTCTGATGATGAAAAGACATTTTGGTCTAGATCATCCTAATGTCCTTTGTGGTTGTGGGATTTTATTTGTTTTGCAAATTATCAGCGTGCCTTTGCAAACGAAGACATTTAGAGAAAATTCACATCCTTCAGCTTAAAATGATAAGATTAAACATAAAAAAACTGGCTCCACTGTGTTTTATGGCTTTTGTAGCAAATGTGCATCAACACCATACAAGAAAGAAATGTCCACTTAAATTATGTTATCTTTAAGCCTCTGATACACAACAGACTTTTTATCTTTAGGTTATTAAAATTTTTATACAATAGCTGCATTGGCACCCCTCAAATTTATCCCAAAATGTTCTTGTTTACTGTCAACAGCTGATTTATTTCAGTATCGGTTGATAATTTCTCTTAGTATTTTAATCAAAATAATACATTTTTATTAAGCTCGCAAAGGAGAAAATGAGGATAAATACAACGATGATCAGATAAATGTAGAAAAATATTGTTCTGTTTACTTATTTGCTGATGCTTGGGGAGTTTTTTTTTTTTGACCGAATAAAATACAATTAATAACAGACAGAAAATCTATTTAAAACAGATGTTAAGTTAGTGTGATCAAATTTTTTATTTATAAATAGTTTAGCTAAAAATATGAGTGCTTGGACTTTTCTGCCAGGTAATAAAAAAACTATTAAAATAACAATAAAATGAAATAAAAAAAGAAATCAGACTAAACATGTTTCGATGAGCGGGTTCGCAGAAATTCGACTTGGCACAGTTTGTCCTTTCGCATTTTCCGTACAAAACCCTTACGAGTTGCCGTAGTCAAATTCAGTTGACACATGCCGTGTTTACAGGGACGCAAATATTTACCATTTGAGTTTTATGTAGTTATAGAGCTTTATTACTTTGCCCCATTCATCACATAACGCCTCCTCATAAATTGGTACGTTTTAATGTTTGTTTTTAAATACTTAAATACGACTAGAAGCATTAGCGGGAGCTAGTGTTAGCTAGTCACAGCTAACGTGTAATAGTGGCTAGACATAAACTGTACCCTTTAAATGTCACCTTCCGCTGGTAGCTTCTTAATAAACATTTAAAAAATACAGTTTTAAACACTCTTGTTAGTGTAATGATTAATTTTTTATCTTCTGTTTTTGTTTAAAATCCTGAATTAGATTGAACTGCACCACATTTTTGCTGAAATGGATGTAAATGTAATAAAACAGTTAAAATAAATATAATAGATAAATATTTTGTTAAAAGTATTTTTAATATTAGCAATAAAAAATCAATAATTACAATATTTTTAGTCTTGAACTGATAAATGTGTTTACTTATTAATAAATATTTAACACTAGTTTAGGAGCAACTTTACCATCTAATCGTAAGACGAAGAAGTTAGGCTCTCTGAACTGTTGTTGGTGTCTTTTCCAGGTTATTTTATTCATAAAACACTTAATTTTCTACAATAGGGTGTTTAATTTTTAACATGACGTTTTCCTGAACTCTTTCCTGTTATTTTTGTAGGAAGGATGGCTGGCCACGCCCCTTCTGTTGCCATGGAGGCTGTCCTAAAGCCCAGCTGTGAGCTCCCTGAGGACATGCCGAAAATCCGAGGTTACGATTTTAACCAGGGCGTGGATCTCAAGGCGGTCCTGAAGTCTTATGTCACCACGGGCTTTCAGGCCAGCAGCTTGGGTCTGGCCATCCAGGAGATCAACCGCATGGTGAGGAGAACAAAGTCATCTGCGGGTCCTTTAACGGACCATGCGGGCTGAAACCGTCTTGTGCATCTGGCTTTAGCTTAGCTCACAGACCATTGTTTAGGTAAATTCACCTCATGTAAAAAAAGACTATGAGCTACACAATAATTACTCTATTACAAACAAGAAATTGAACAGGTGTGTATTCTTATTGTTTGTTTACATAAGAGATACGATGCTGTTGAAGTCAGACAAATCCGATCTGTACTAAAACCTTGTCTGATTATATGCAGCAAAACAAAAAGATTTATATATTTTAATTAAAAAGAAAATCAGAAGGTAACAGAGTGACCTTATTGCACAGAAAAGTGCTTGCACCCCAGCTGTAGTCCTGAGCCATGTATCCAGCCTGTTCTGTAATACGCTTCTCCTGTCTTACTGTAACAAGATGCTGTCTTCTCCTTAAAATTTCTCCTTTTTAATATTTACGTGGACAAACCTCTCAACAGTACACAGTAATACTTCTCATGTCAGCAGCTTTAAATCCAAAGTCTGACATCCATAGATAGAGAAGCGTCTTGAACCAGTGGAGGTAGACGAGGGCGACGAGTCCGGCGACCCTCCCCACAAGGCCGGCTGCACCATCTTCCTGGGATACACCTCTAACCTCATCAGCTCTGGCGTCAGGGAGAGCATTCGCTATCTGGCAGAACATAAAATGGTACAGACTCCCTCGCTCATCGTGGTTATCCGGACAGATCCTAAAATAAGCAGCATACTTGATGCCACTTACTTTGTTTTAGGTGGACGTGATTGTTACCACAGCGGGAGGCATTGAGGAGGATCTGATCAAGTGTTTGGCTCACACTTACCTGGGAGACTTTAGCCTGCCTGGCAAGGAGCTCCGCCTGAGAGGCATCAACAGGTGGGAGACGGCTTCCACAGCTCAGCTGATTGATTGTAGTTCAAGACTAGGTGGCTGTTTTAGAGTCTGACTTTACTGTTTCTAAACTTTGTACCAAACTTGTGCTGAAACGCGACTCTGACACATCTTCACTAGATAGACGAGATGTGTTTGATCGTAATTCTGATCCCAGATCAGTCTGCACTTTCCTCTCATGCAGCGTTCCACTTCTGATTTGGCAAACACCAATCTTGACACAGAGAAAGATTTTTTAAAGTAACATCTAAATAGGCTGTAGAAAATGTAAAAACATCTAAAATTAGACCTGGGGTCTGCAATCTGTGGCTCTGGAGCCACAAATGGCCCAATGAACCTTCCACAATGGCTCTTAGTAAGTTTGACAAAAATTCTAAAGAACTAAATTGTGATTTTAAATCTAATAGAAATCTAGATTTAAGCATCTTTTCAGTTTTTTCATGGAATGATTGAATTTCCATAACAGAGGTAATTTTGTTTGACAACAAACAACATATCAAAACTCTTTTTTTCCAAAAAGTTTTATTCTTTTCTCTTATTTTAAAAACTAATCCCTCCAAAATTCCAACAAATCTCTAAATTGATATTTATTTAAATATTTACAAAATAAACATTTCTAACTTTAATGTCAGAAATAAAAGTCAGAATACTGATTTTATTGTCAGAAATTAAACGGTGTTCTCAGATTAATTACAAAAAGGAGAACTTTTATTTCTCCCAAATTACAAATAGTCTGTTTTCAAAAGGTCCTGTACCATTTGAGGCTCTAAACAATATGAATTGGAAAAAATAAACATACACTGAAAGATCATAATATTTTAAGTTATAATACGGAATCAATATTTAAAAGCAGTTTGTTGATTTTTTTTATTGCGACATTTAAATGCAAACATTTACTTATGTCTGTTGTGTGCAATTCAAACTCTGACTGCTAGGGGGCAGCATTTTGTACCACCTTCATTCAGTCGGAATAACTCTAGTTAAGGCTTGGAAACCTCTGGCCTTGTTTTCCAAACTTAATTGAATCTTAAAAATCACTTTTAGTTTTGTAATAAATCGTTTTTTCTGTATTGTGATATTTATTATGTCACCTGATTCTTACTAGAGGCCTACCGATATGGCTTTTTTAAGGCCGATGCCGATTTTTCAAGAATTCCGTTGCCAATGGACGATATCTAAAGACGATTATGAAGGCAGACATATATATATCTATATATCTAAAATAAATAATTATATATATATATGTGTGTGTGTGTGTGTATGTATATATGTATATGTATACAGGAATTCCCCCAGTGCTTTATAAGCCTGGTGGTGCGCCTGGCTTTGCTTGGCCACCCGCCTGGTCATGCCCCGCCCCGCCCCCCTCCCCGACCCTACCGAGTCTGCTGACACGAACGGCCCAACGAAACTAGAGCCGTCCATCAGCTGATACTGGAGAAACAGCAGTGGAACGTGTGCAACCCCCCACCCCCACCCCCATTCTCACGGAGGAGCATACATATGTATGTGTGTGTGTATACATAGATTTCTCTCTATAAGGACTCAATTTCTCATGTGAAATCACAGTATTACTCTGGTCTGATTTTCTCCAACACTGACAATACTAAGATAATATTTTCCATGTATAATAACATCTTTCATCCCCTGACTCCCTGCTTTCACACCTTTACTTATCTGAAACCTGTAACTCCCTCCTCCTGTTTTTTAATGATAAGGTCAAAAGGATTCATCAGCACCTCGGCCCCCCTCTCCCACCTCCCACCTCCCTCCTCACCCCCTTTCTCCGATTTCTCTCAAGCCAGGCGTACACTGTGCAACTTTTTTACTTTTTTGAGCCGATTTTCCAGTCGTGCGAGAATCCACGACATCGGGGCGAGTTCTGTGCCGAGCGTCGTTTAGTGTACAGGGGGTTACGAGAGGCGATTAACACCACGTGACCAGCTGCCGATCAGCAGTCGTGAGGTCGCACGGACTTCTGGCGTGTTTAATATTTCGCTCGTCCCTCGTGAGGGTATCGCACTGTTGAAGCGGCGCTGCGAGCAGCTGCGACCCAAAAAGTATCAGAACCGCTCACGGCGCATGCGCAATCCTGCATCAACACCGCTCGCTATGTCCCTAATAACACACGCTGTTCGTTTTTGTTTCTACACGTTTTTTACTCACAAAGATTGTCAAGAAAGCGTGTTTGTCGTGTTCATGTCAAATTAAACTGATCACAAAACACAGATTTACTTTCTTTATTTCGTTTTCCTCATCTAACCCCCATAAATCCCTGTGTGTCCCGAAGGACAACAGGCAAAACAAGACAAAAAAGTCTGACGTGTTGAGTAAAAACTGCTATTTTTAGCATATTTTTAGGGCCGACGTGTTGCTACCAGACGTACAGTGTGAGCAGTCAGGTCGCATGCGAGAACTGGGCTGTGCAGTGTGAGCACATGACTCGTTAGATCTGCCCTGCGAGGAAGTCGTACAGTTTGAGCTGAAGCTGCGTGCTACGAGTGAAAAAGTCACACAGCGTACGCCCAAGTCCAAACCTTCCACTTGTCAGTTAGACCCCTACCAACAGTTTTGGTGAAGTATTGCCCATCCTCCCTGCAACATTTCATAACGGCCATCATTTATTCCTCGCTGTCCTCTGGAACTGTTCCCGCCCCTTTCAAATCAGCAGCAGTCTTTCCTATTCTGAGAAACCGGGTGCAGACCCCAATGATTTGAATAACCTCCATCCTATCTCCCATCTTCCATTCATCTCCAAAATTTTACCTCATCACATCATAAAGATGTGTGTGTATCACAGCTACACACACCTTTCTCTCTCTTTGAACATTTTCAATCTGGTTTCCGACCCCACCACTGTACAGAAACGGTCCTCAACAAAATCATCAATGACCTTCTTATGCTGCAGCCATTCTCGTCCACAGCCTTGTCACTTCCTGTCTTGACTACTGCTGCTCACGTCTTTTTGGTCTCCTCAATAAACTCCTTCATAAACTGCAACTGGTCCAGAATTCAGCAGCCCGTGTTGTCACCGGAACCCCTTCCTTTCTCCACATCACCCCTGTTCTTCAGCAGCTCCACTGGCTTCCAGTTAAATTTAGGTCCACCTTCAAGATCTCCCTCCACATCTTTGAAGCAATACATAATCTTTCTCCTCCTTACTTGACAGACCTCATTAATATTGCTACCCCATCACGCTCACTCAGATCCTCTTCTTCGCTCCATCTTCTTGCCCCTTCTGCATGCCTCACTACCATGGGGGGCAGAGCTTTCAGCCGGTCTGCTCACCATCTTTGGAACGCACTCCCCCCAGACGTCAGAAACATTGACTGCCTCACCCTTTTCAAATCCAGACTCAAGACTCATCTGTTCAAAACTGCCTATGACTTGTGACTTGTTTGATCTGTTTTTATGACTGTTTGATTTGTTTTATTCTGCTATTTTACAGCATTTTACTGTGTTTTATCTTTTAAAGTGACCTTGAGTGTTTTGAAAGGTGCTTTTAAGCAAAATGTATTATTAATATTATTATTTTTTTTATTATTATAAAACAAACTCAAAACAAAACAAAAAAACGGTGTGTTGGGGTCCTTTGGGTTTTTTCATCAGTCTAGTAGTGGCGGCAGTTGGCCACACAGGTGCCAGTTTTTACATTTCTTTAAAGGCCTTTAAAAATAATTTTGGCCGATATAGAAAAAATTGAACGTATCGGTCGGCCTCTAATTCTTACCAATACACACATTAAACAAGTTTTATTCCAGTGAACTGAGAGGGGGAAACGGCTCTTAGCTGTAAAGGTTGCAGACTCCCGAGTTGGATTAAAAAAAAAAAGAGCTAAACTACTTATTTACACGTATGTTTGTCCCTGAAGATTTGTTTTATTTTCCGTTTCCTCCGACTAGAATAGGGAATCTGTTGGTTCCCAATGATAACTACTGCAAGTTTGAAGACTGGTTGATGCCCATTCTGGACCAGATGTTGCTGGAGCAGAACACAGAGGTATTTCATACAGACAACAAGGTTTCCAGAGAGCTGTGAAGCTCCAATATTTACACATTTTCTTCCATATTCATGTTTTTTTCCTCTAACAACTAAGTTTTTTTTGTTTTTAGAGTGTCCGATGGACGCCCTCTAAAATGATCCATCGACTTGGAAAGGAGATAAATAATCCTGAGTCCGTCTATTACTGGGCTTACAAGGTAAGTTCTGGGTTTTACGCAAACATAAAACACCCATTATGTGGAGTTTTTAGTTGGCTAACTTTAAAATGATCTTTTCTGTTGTGTTTCAGAATAACATCCCCGTGTTTAGCCCCGCTCTCACAGACGGCTCTCTGGGCGACATGATCTACTTCCACTCGTTCAAGAAGCCCGGTTTGGTTCTAGACATAGTGGAAGGTAAACAAACAGAATAAAAGGCCCACAGCTGTTGTAACGGTTCCTGTAACGTGTTTTCATCCGTTGTTTCAGACATTCGCCGGCTGAATGGGCTGGCGGTTTTTGCTAAGAGGACAGGAATGATCATCCTGGGTGGAGGACTGGTTAAACATCACATAGCCAACGCTAACCTTATGGTGACTCCGCATGTTCAGACTCTTCCTGTTTGTCTCATTTTTATGCTTCATTCCAGTTGATTCAGTCCACGTCAGTTCACACACAACACCCCATAATGACAACTTAAACTGCCCTCTGAATGCTCGCTTCATTCTGTGGTTTATTTTCTCGTTGTAATGGTTGCCACAGGCGACAGGAAGTAGAAGGGCTCACAGTCCTGTCTTGGCCTCGTCTGTTACAGAGGAACGGAGCCGACCATGCCGTGTATGTGAACACGGGTCAGGAGTTCGACGGTTCTGACTCTGGAGCCCGACCCGATGAGGCCGTATCCTGGGGGAAAATCAGAACAGATGCCAAACCTGTAAAAGTAAGGATGTTCCTCCCGCCGTCACCAGTCCGACCAACAAGTAACCATTAGTCAAAACATATGTTAAACACAACATATTTCTGTGAACGGTTATTGAAACAAAACACATTTTATGATTTAAAATCGGATTTATTCTCAAACTGATGCTTGATGGAGTCACTTTAAAAGAGGACTGCTGTACCTGAACACGTTAGTGACCACCTGTTGTAGCCAGGAGCTGCGATTTCAGCTCTCAACCACAAGGCGGAGCTGTTAGCTCAGTATTTGTCCCGAAGCTTCAGCGTAGGGGTATGGTGTGTTAAGTATGACATTACTAGGATATTAAAAGCAGATCTGGCTCTGCTCTGGGTCTCCAGGTGTACGCAGACGCCTCTCTGGTTTTCCCTCTCATGGTGGCCGAGACCTTCGCCCTGCACGCCGACAGACTGACCGCTGGAGAGAAGATGGATTAATTCCTTTCTCCCGTTTAGTTTGTTGTTTTTAAACAACATCCTGTCTTCCTGATTTATTTATTTTTTTGTAATTGCAGAAACCTTTGTGTTGATAAAGTTTTCAGTTTAGTCTCTTTTTAAAGTTCTTGAATGAGTGTGAAGATTTAAAGAACCAAGGCTGCTCTCTAATGCTTTCTGTGCTAACAAGTATTCTCCCCTCTGTTTACGGCACGAGTGTGATGCGGATGCATGTCCCAGACTCGAAGGGTGTGTGTCAAACACCAGAACCTCTTAGAAACCCGTTTTACTGTCGCTGCAGCTCCGCTGTTCCCATCAGTTCCTAGGCTGCAGCAGACCTTTGCTGTCCCTGGGTGGAGGCGCCGCCTGGGTTTAATAAATGATGAATAAACGATCCGTCTCCGTGTTGAAATGATATTTAGTGAACTGTCATAAACACTCTGATGTTTTCTAGTAAATCTGAGAGGCTCCTGAAACTGGAAGTATTGTTTTTAGGACCTGCTGAGCTGATTTGGAACAAAGTTTAAATTAGTTCATTATGGTTCAAGACTTTTTTATTATATATTTTGTTTTTATAATGCTCAGAACATTTTACCCGCTTCATCTAAATTCATCTTAAATCGGCTCAGACTGAGGCGGGCAGCTCACAGCCTGCTGTCCATCTTCAGAGGGACACAACTGATGCGATCTTCCAATGTTTTCCACATTAAAAAAACACCCATCCATTTGTCTTTTATCTAAACAGCTTCATCTTCACTAAGGTTGGCAGGGAGCAGGTGCAGATCTCAGGTGACAGGCGAGGGAACAACCCTCTAAACCAATCAGGTAGAAGGATGAGGAGGATGCAGCAGCACGGGTTAGTACATTTGTACTCATAAGCAGTTATATTTTTGGTAAATGTAAAATTTATATTGGTTAGAATAGAAAGAATATGGTTGAACATTAATGCTTAATTACTTTAAAAGGGTTTTTTTCCCCGCAAAAAACATAAAAGATTCAAAACAGGAAACGAGCGAATAAACAAGACATGAAGACAGAGTTTTTAATGAAAATTTAATTTTCTTTATATTTAGTTTTTATTAAAATATTAATGTCAGTACTATGTTTATAGAATATAAAATAATAATAATAAAGAAGTGATTAATAATGAAATGTGGACAAAACATGCTTTGATTATTAAAATTCTTTAGATGTTTAGAGTGTTTGAAACTCTTATTTTGAAGGATTAAAAGTTGTTTGTGTTCTGATCTAAATGCTGCTGTGGAAGCAGCCTTAAGACATCAGCATGTATTTAATAAAACACTTATTTGAGTATATTTTTTTGTAAATCTGACTCATTAAAAACCATCTTGGTAAAAAACTCAACACAGAGTCAGCCTCAGCATCCCAGTGGGGTTCACTTCTTCAGCTTTTTTCTGTTAATATTCTAGAAACAGCAATAAAGTTTTTATCTCAACCCTCCCTCTACATTATTCTCTCTTTTCTCAGGTGCCGACTAAATAAACTGGAGCTGTTCCAGAGGTGGTCACAGTCCTGGCTCACTTTTACGTTTGCTGACACATTTTGGACGTCATGATCTCGACGATCCTGATCCTGACAAAACTCCCAATCAAGATGTCTTTCAAACTGGATGGATTTCACTGACTAGTTTTAAACAAATTAACAGCTGCTGATGCTTCAGGTACCGAACTCACCCCAAAACAGCCGTGCTTATTTGATCTTAAAGAGCAAGTCACCCCCAAATCAACTTTTTTTCCTGATAAACTATATAAACGAGTGTCTAATCGTGCTGCAGACACATGCAGTCAATAGTTTTGCACTTTAGCGCATTTTAGTTAAAATTTCAATTTTCTGCCTAAAACTGTCAGTGTTGTGCTGTTGTCAGGTAAAAACTCTGCACTGCATTTGAATTTAAATCTGCCATCGCTATTGGCTAAGAGGTGACTTAGAATGTTAGCTGGTACCATATGATGTCACAATGTCATTGTGAGCCTGTGTGTGTGTGTGTATTTGTTAGTGACTCCGCCCTCTCAGTCTGCTAGGCAACAGCATTTGTTGCATTTTTCAAACAGGAAGTGGGAGCTGAGTAATACTTTGGTAGGGGGTGACTTGCTCTTTAATTGTTTTCAGCTGAGCAACAGAATTAAAACCACCTTTTATAAAAATCAACTGATCGTTAAATATGATTTGATTAATGTTGGTTTTGTTAGTGAATCGACATAAAACGTGAATTTCTTTGGAAAATGAAGGAATTTCTGAGTTATCCTAAACATTTACTCGTTCTAACATTCAGCATCAGCTCGGGAAAACCCCTCATCTGTCCACCTCTAGTGGCTTTATCAGATATGTGCAACAGTTGAATCAGTTCCATATCCTCGGTCTGTTCTGAGATAAGAAAAGAAAAATTTTAAACATTAAAACTCTTAAGTGGGTTTTTAAAGGTTTACGTTCAGACTTTTAAACTGAAAAGCAATTTAAATATTTTTTCCCACATTCATACCCAAAGCTAAAAGATGCAGCTGTAGATGGAGCTGTTCCTTCACGTTGTGTGTGTGTGTGTGTGTGTGTGTGTGTGTGTGTGTGTGTGTGTGTGTGTGTGTGTGAGCCCTAACCACATGAACCAGTAACAATGATGAAGACATTTCCCTGGATGTTTCCTGTGGCTAATCAGCGCTCTCACATCCTTCACACACAGCTCACTTGTACTTGTGGAGGCTGGAATGGAAATGTGTGCTAGTCTTTCCTTCACGTGTGCGTGTGTGTGTGCATGTGTGTGTGTGTGTGTGTGTGTATAAAAGTTCTGAGGAACACTAGCTTCAGGCGTCTGCTTTTCAAGCGGGTGACCTTTTCTTTTTTGGAAACAGAGATGGATACGTGGAACTGGAGCTGGAATAAAGTTCCAAAAACCTCAGCTCCATGAGCGAGTTTGGGCGTTCCTGTTGGTACCGACTGCTTTTCCATCCACATTTTCTATCTTTTCCTATGGCAGTGGCACCGTGTGAGCGTTTACTCAGAACTTCACTGTTAAGATGGTTTGTTATGCGTTCAAAGTTGCTGGAGTTTGAGTTTTCAGCCCTATAGAAACCCATGTTTGCTTTATGCTTAGCTGCCAGATTACAGAGAGCCCGAGTGGGCTGAGAACACTGAGACCCTCCACGTGTTTGTGTGTGTGGATGAGCTGTAGTCACGCTATGATAATATTGTGTGGCGCCTGCACAGTGCAGACAGTGTCCCCCCTCCTCTCCCCCCTCTGTGGAACAATCAGTACTCTGTGTGATGTGCAGGACTGCTGCAGTCATAATGGCAATTATGTCTTCTCGCAGCCAGATTGGCAGCTTGTTTTATGGTGAGAACCAGAGGAGGCAGACAGGGAGGTGGAGAGAGAGAGACAGAGAGAGAGGCTGACCTGCTGCACAGCTGCAGGGTGGGGTGCATCTGTGAGAAGTGGAGAAAAGCAAAACAAAACACACAGCAGATGGATTTTGTGTTCCTATTTATGTTGAATCCATGTGCAGCTAGTGTTTGAGCTGTAATTACAAACAGACGCTCTCTTCTACTTTCTCTAATAATTCTGAGTCAGTCCTCGGATCTGTGTGCATCGTTAGCATCCAGTCTGTCTGGGTTACCTTCAGCCAGCCAGGTGGGGGTGTGCTGCCCTGGGGCTTGTCTTGCAGGCTTCTTATCCTAAATCATTCACAATTCACTCATTTACTTTTCTTAGTTATTATATAAGATATAGACAGTTTAACTATTTATTTTCCCTTACATCTAAAATAGACTTATTTATTAGATTTATTATTAGGATATTTACTGCCAGCAGTCAAAAGGTGACAGGTGGGTGATAATGATCTTGTTTTCTATCTTTTAGCAGCATATCCCGTGGACAGGTTGAAATGAAACTCTCAGAAAACCGTCGATGGATGTACGACTGCAAGTGGTCATCTTTAGGAGTTAACCTTTTAAAAGATGGAAGCTGAAGCTAAGGGAAAAGAGCAACAAACAAAAATGGCTGAAATTCAATTAAAACTGCTCTATAAAATAAAAATAAAATAAAAAAGAACGAACATTTTATTAAATTAAATAAAATTGCAGATATTATTTACATCATTCAGTATTAAAACAGGTCAGTAAAAAGGTTTAAAGTCCTAAAGTTAGATTTGTTTGTTGTAACCAATGAGATTAAAATAGATACCTTCTACGTCAAAAGTGTGAGGACTTTACGTCCTCTTCTCTTCCTTCTTATCTCCCCTCCCTTGTTATGTTACCTGTTGTGTTGCCACGGTAACCTCCAGCGCGGCAGCCCATTGGCCGAGGCGCAGAGAGGTAGAGGCAGGTGAAAGAGGGCAGAGAGGCTTTACAGAACGAGGAGCGGCCGGCTGTATGTGACGGAAAGATAAACAGAGTCATGTAGAAGGAAAACAATGGAGCAATAAACGTATGGAGGCGCTGATGAAGGGAGGAGAGGAGTCTGCTAAGAGAGGAAGGGAGGGGGAGGAGGCTTTTAGCTCCGCTTTCTCAGAAACAGGAAGTTGCCAGTTGAACCGCCGTCAGCTCCTCTGACGCAAGCTGATGACGGACCTGGATCTCAGTAACCATAGCAACCAGCCAGCAAAGACAAACATCCGGAAAGCACCTTAAACAGGGCTGACACTGTAAAAACGGCCTAAATGTATAGATATAGAATTAATTATATTTTTATTGCAAACATTAGTTTTTCAATAAAACATGGAAAACCTGTTAACACAGCCTCCAACAACAGAACCGAGCTTGTTAATTATTTTATTTTATTTTATTTTTTGATGTAATTTCTGCATGAGGTCAGGAAGTTTATTTTTAACCTCTTGCATAGAGTAATCTTATTTCCAAGATAAGTATTCAGAGTAAATACATATGTAATTGATGCAGTAACACATCTGCAGACGTGGGCCTAGCAGGTTATTTAGATTTCTTGTATTTGAACGTAACAGAGAAGATTTAACAGGCTGAATAGACACTCGTGTATATTCTGTATAAAAAAGAGAGATGACTCCATACAAACACAAGAAAGAGTCACGACTGAAGGAAACATTATTTTATTTTTATTCGTGGTGTCACATTTATTTCATATAACAGACAGGAAACAGACACAAACATATTTTTGAAAACATTAATATAAGAAATTTGCCATTTAATTAATTGCAACAACAATACCTGCATAAATACATAAATATATACATGTTACTTGTAGAAACTTTAAGGAAATTGTGTGTGCAAATATATATATATATATATATATATATATATATATAGAGAGAGAGAGAGAGAGAGAGAGAGAGATAATCCATTATATATATATATATTATATATGTATATATATATATATATATATATATATATATATATATATATATAT